AAAAAAAAAAAAAAAAAAAAAAAAAAAAAAAAAAATGAAATCTATAGTTCTATATAATCTACAAATCTATATGAACTTATAACATAAAAAAAAGCCACCATAAAAATGTAAGTATCATAGAAAAAAAAACGAAATCTATAAAACTATATAATCTATAAATCTATAAAATCACCATAAAACATTTTTCTTAAACAAAAATATAAAGTAAAAAATGAATCTAAAATCTTATCATCATATTCTATAAAAATTTATACGCTATAAAACTCACTCTCTTAATGTAAAAAAATTACGCTAATAAATGTCGGTAACGCAACGTATACGCTTCAATAAAATCGAAAAGAAAAAAATGTGGTATGATTATATGCCATCCCGATGGCGAACACCGAAAGTTAAGATATTATATAGTTATATAATAAATTGTCATCCTCATATCACGATCATGAGTCAAAATATAATTTATTGACATTCTAGTGTTTTGTTGTATTGGATTTGTAAGTATTGCTGTTAAGCTGATAGAATTTTGACCTTCGCTTTGACCGTTTTGACTATAAAATAATTATATTGTTAAATTAAATTGAAACGAATAAATGAATGTATGTATTTTTTTTTTTAAAAAAAATCTTACGCCATATTACGATAATTGACTGTTAATAAAGAATATTGTTGTTAAATATTATATTTAATGTAGTCTAAAATACAATAAATGATAATTTATTTACCTGCAAATCTTTGAGACATGCCAAGGTTTAAAGTTGCAGGACGATTAAGATTCATTGCTGATATATTTAAAATGAAATGGAAGATCAATTAAACTATAACTCGTATGAAGTGAATCATAAATGAGAGGTAACATATTAAAGGAATATATATCACTTACAATTATAATATGTTAATCGTCTCCATCTTCATTAGTTGTATATACAGTTAAAATATTAACGAAATATAATATTATTATAATAAGCAAATAGTACTCAAATTGGGGCGAAACATACATAGTTTGACATTCCACCGAGGTACGGGTCCTAACTTGGCGAGCAATATTATTCCAATTACGAGGACCAAGTATGAACACGGCATTATTCAATCGTTCGATTTCCTAAAAATTTGAGAATAATAATGAATAAGAAAAGAAAATATATCGTCTTCACTGACATCGCTAACAAAATTTCACGGTTACGTGATCTATTGACATAAATCAGAATTCAATTTATACTACGTATTATTTAGTGAATCATATCATAACAATTTACAGTCGGCTCTCGATATAACGAACTGTCGAAACGAATTTTTCCGAACATGCGACATCTAACCAATCAAATACTCATTATAATGAATCAACCAATTAAATTCTTTAAAATTCTTCGCTATAACCTTATAACGAACTGAGGTGAAAACCGGAGGGTTCGTTATATCGAGAGCCGACTGTATGTTGGCGAGCTAAAACAATATTCCGAGACATAACAAATTATTATTACATCATCTGTCCACCATAATGGATTCGGATTATTAGGATTATTAGGAATATTCGGATTATTAGGAATATTCGGATTATTAGGAATATTCGGATTATTAGGATTATTAGGATTATTCGGATTATTAGGGTTAGACATCCTTAATATTCAAGAACGATGATTCGAAAACAAAGTAAAATATGTATAGCCAGCTATCAAGTTAAATTGGCGAAAAGACCAATTTATTTATTTATCTATTTTGTTTTTTAAGAATCAGGGAAAAAAGAAGAAGCGAGAGGAGGAACTATTATTTAAATTTCATTCTATCGACTGATATGAACGAATTGTATCTTGTGAAGAACTTAGTACTGTATTTATAATATTTACAGCCCATAGTAAATTAGAGTCTGCATAATTACATTGTTCTAAAATATAAAATTTACAAATACTTTGAATCATAAGTACTGTTGTCTTGCATCTAAAAGAACAATTGAAATAACAAATATTTAACTGGATAAAAAAAGCCGAGCCCGAACATCAAAATAGAGATCTATTATCAATTGTTTTTACCGGATCAAAAAGAGTAATTTATCGTCGGAAAGAAACTGATAAAATTGGATATACAAAGCATTGATTTCATTTTATTGTTCCTAAAGTTTAAATTTATTTAATTTAATTTAATTTGGTAAGGATTTTAAGGAGTCTAAAAACGTAATTTATATATATAAACTTAATCTCTTTCACTTTCAATTTTATTACAATAGTTCTATTATGATTTGTGCATAAAATATTCAACCAATCAATCAACCACCCAATTTTGGGTATTGGCGTTGATCGACAATATTTTGATTAATTATTAAATGTTTTTTTTTTTTCAAAGTATTGCAAAGTTTGCTAATGATTTATTTACATGGATATTTTTATATTTTGATGATCAAACAAACAATATGACTGCAAAATAAATATACGACTCCGTTAAGTTAATGAACTTTAAATCTTTAATGATAAAGTTTGGCGCCATTATATGTAAATACACGTATATATAAATAAATAAATATATATTAATTTATAAATATTTAAATTTGGTGTTATGAAAATAGTTTCAATTAATAAAAATCGAAAAACATTTCAATGAAACGAGAACTCAAAACAGATTCATTCTAATCCTTACTTTGATCATCGATCGTAAATAACTTATTCTTTCCCATTTCATCAAACAAAATAAATAGCTGAAAAGAGAATAAATTTAGATGGGTTGAAATTGCTAAGAAAATACTAGCGAACAGTCCGTGAAAGAAAATTTCTGCTAATACTTTAAGATTCAAAATGATACAAATGATGATTAATTGTATAAACTTTATCCAATAGCAGACAGATTTTTTTTTCTTGATGATTATGTTTCCTAAATTGCACCAAATCATTTGTTTGTGTCGTACAAAAATTTGTCCCTCATTTATTTCAACAATGACTCGAATTGAACAATAGAAATTTTGATATTTATTATATAAATAAACAATGTTTGTTTGTTATGACTAGTTTCGCAGAGTTCAACACTTTTAATAATGATGTGAAAAATTTTTTACTTTATCCAGTCTTTGAATCATTACCCCAGTTCCCCGCTTTTCTTCCGTTATTAGAGTTATTTATTTTACCGAGAGAAAAATAAAAAATTTGGAATTTTCCCACCATATTATATGCTATTTTCATATATGTTTTTTTTAAAAGGGAATAAATTTAATAAATTTGCATTATAGAAAAATAATATTATTAAAGTTGTACTAATATTTTTATAGTCTCTTTTTAATGATAAATTAATGAAAGAACTGAAACATTTATTAAAGATTATTTATGCATTTGAGAAAGTTCAAGCCGTTTTACTATTTATGTAATAACTTATACCAAAAATGTATCAAAATAAGAATGCCAGAAACTGTGATATTATGACTGCTCTCATTTTTAATTGCATAATCATATGGTGCGCAGCGGCGCATCTGTTCTAACCTTTATTTGATTGATTTCTTAGATTAAAGTGATTTTATTGGCTGGCTCACACTATTTTACATAGATTTTACTTTTCAAATTAGCATAAAATTTTAAAGAGTTATTCATATTTAAAAATAACCAAGATGCATCGCACAACAATATATTGATAACATGTTTGTTACTATTTGACTATTTACTTTTATATCGGACGTTTTATAGATTTCATCCGCAAAAGTTTATTACATCATAATACGTTTTGGTTTGTGTTATTATTGATCTACATCGTCACATTGTGTATGGTTGAGTGGCTGATAACATACAAAATACCTATCTAATTAGCTATGATCAACATTTAATTTTAAAATAATTCTTGTAAAGATTTTTGTATCGGATATTGTGACATTGTGACATTTATGTATTTTGACTAACTTTTTTTTAAATTGGGCAAAAAACTCACCCCCTATAAAAACTCCGATAAATGACCGATATGTGATCAATTTTCTAAGGAAATAGTTAGTATATCTTAATCTTTGAAGGGATGTTTCGGTGCTTTCTCTAAATATGGGGATAACCTAAAATGATGTAAAAAGTTAATAATTCGTAGTGCAAATTAATGGCTAATTTTTTTTGCAGTACATGCATGTTGATTTTATCCGTGTATAGATCATCTAAAAATTCTCTGATTTAGCTAGTCAGTACCTTAATGCTTTTCTTTGTTCTTTTCATGGCTTTTTGGTGCGTAATTGAATTCATTGTACTCGTGCAACATTATGTGCGAATATTAACTAATTAAAAAACGAGATTTTTCCGGTTTAATTAGTAACCCATTTTTCTCACAGTTACAGTGGCTAGTATTTAGTTTAACTAGCCACAATAAGCCATAAAAAAAAGATTAAAGTTCATCAAATGTTTTACAAAAAATCTGAAGTTTATTTCACCTTTTTGATTTATTATCTGATTCATACAGAATTTATCCTCTCTCACTTTCTTTCTCTCTAATTTTTTTTTCATTAAATATCAAAAAAAAAAAATACACATTTATTCAAATTTAGTATATAAAAACTTTCAAATATTTATTTATTTATTTTTGACGCATTTACGCTAATAATAAAGATGAATACACAATTATCATATTCTAATTCGTCATGGTTACCTATTGTAAGAAGGACTTTTTTTATTTTCTTTTCTATTACATTATCATTGAAAATGGTTTTCTTTTTAAGATGGAGTTGGATTATTTACAGTGGTAAGCACCCAATAATTACGGTGGCAGTCCACGTGATCACGCNAAAAAAAAAAATACACATTTATTCAAATTTAGTATATAAAAACTTTCAAATATTTATTTATTTATTTTTGACGCATTTACGCTAATAATAAAGATGAATACACAATTATCATATTCTAATTCGTCATGGTTACCTATTGTAAGAAGGACTTTTTTTATTTTCTTTTCTATTACATTATCATTGAAAATGGTTTTCTTTTTAAGATGGAGTTGGATTATTTACAGTGGTAAGCACCCAATAATTACGGTGGCAGTCCACGTGATCACGCATTAATTTTTCAATGATTTCCATTTCAAAAATTTCAGCATTTATGCTTTTACAAATTAATCATAATCTTAGCTCCACCCATAGGCCAAGAATGATTCGAAGACTTAGAGGTAATCAACAATAATTATTATTATCATTTTTTTTTAAAAAAAAAAATTGCAAAATATTACATTTTAACCAGGTTCTTTTTGATAATAGCTGTCAATTATCGTCAAACTTCTCGTTTCAGGAATGCTATGTTAGTTTAATTAACTTCAATTTTTATGTTAAATTACATTGTAATATTTACAAAGTTTTAATTCTCTTTAGTCGAAATGCAGCTTCAAATACACCGACACATCGTGATATTAGGATGACATTAGATTATATTTTAAATTAATAAATAATCACATCCAACAATAATCCAACGGCTATAAAATATGTTCCATTGTTTATTGCTTGCGGTGCCTCTATATATACTTTTCGACTTTATTTTAGCATGTATAACACAATGACATTTCATCACCATTTTAATGTGCTTTAATTATCATAAATAAAAAGAAATATCTTATTATGTCCACAGTCCATTCTTTGTATATACCATTTAAGAATGACTGACTTACGTAATCAATCCCGATAAAGGACTTCAATGTTAACGCACAAATATTGATCAACAGCTCCTCCTTTGCACAGATATTGATCTTCTCAGCACCTCTTTTGCACAGATATTGATCAACAAAAAGGGAGTAATACACAATATCCCCAGTTAAGGTTAGGTTAAAATTGGGTAAAAACAAAACCGGCGTGAAATCCCAAAAAAAAGGGAAGTACAACATTGATGTTCAAAAAAAATTTCATATTTCCATATTCTTTTAATTTATTTTATCATCATTTAATTCATGTAAATAAATTTTAATAAATTGATATTTTTTGAAATGGATTTCAAGAATAATGTTTTATTAGCAAATAATTTTAACCATTAAATAATAAGTTATATTGTAAATAAACTTACATTCTTTGAAATATAATATAAAAAGTTAAAATATTAATATGTATTAATAATTATGTTAGCAAATAATTTAATTATTAAATATTAAGTTATAATATATTTACCAGCTATAAAATATAATTTAAAAAATATTTTTTAAGAATAAAAATTTTGATGTTTTGATGTTTAGTAATTACAATATAACTGATAATTATCAAATAATTTAATTAATAAGTTACTATTATGTATAATGTTAGTAAGTTTAGCAAATAATTTTTAAAATTCATAGTTCGCTTTATGTTAGTTAAATACGACCAAAATGACTTCCTCCTGTTCAAGTTTGATGGCTTCACGTAAAAGGTCAAAACATTCAGATGAATCGTGGGATAATACCACAATACATGTAATTATGACATAAAGAGTAAATCAATAATTAAGTACTGGGTTTCTTTTGTTTGAATAGTGTTCCGATCCAGATTCAGGGAAGGCGTTATACTATCTCCAGTTTTGATCCGACCTGGAAAATTCGGAATACTAGTATATTAAATTATACCTACTTTAACTGCTTAACAATAATTCGAAGTTCGAACACCTTTGGAGAAATATTTGAAATTATAATAACTTCGCATTGTGTTCCATTCTTTGATAATACATCACGAAAAAAAGAGGATCGGGCATAAAGAGTTGAAAAATGAGCCATAAAAATTTATCACCAATCTTTACGTCGCAAAATCTGCTTTGCTTGTAAAGGTTTCAAAATCCTTACCCATTTTAAATAGATATTGATTTGACTTATAATTTTTTTGAATACATATTAGAATACATTTATTAACCTTCAAACAAATTTGTGTGGCTAACCTGGACATTTTAAAATCTTGGCTGTCTAGAAATTCTAATTTCTGGCTGGGTTGTCCAATTGTTGAGAAAACTGTCAAGCTCTGTTTTGTACCGACTTTAATACACTAATCTTTTGATCGACATTCTTATAGTCGAAATGCAACTTCACGTCGTGATGTTAGAATGTCATTAAATTACATTCTAAATTAACATTAAATACAACCGATTCTAATATGCAGTTTGTAAATTGACTTCTTATAGGCCTGGTCATAAGTATCCGTGCCCCAATATTTTCTGAAGTTATGTGATAACCTACCCTAAAAATTTCCAGGATTGAAGATAAATACTAATCTACAAAATTAGAAGTTCGTGCAATAAATCAGTAGTTAGATGATCGATGAATTTTAGCTGCAAAATGTTGATTTTCCTAATAAATTATCCAAAATAGTTTTTTGTACGTAAATATTCAATTGAACTAAAGTAAAATTTTGAAAAAAATAGTTACTTACATTCATTATAATTAAATTATGGCCACTTATTGGGCCAAAAATACCATTAAAATAAAGACTTAAATAATAAAAAAAATCATATTATTTGCAAAAAATCCATTTTTATGGTGATTTTTTTGCTCAGGAATTTAGCAAACCAATTTGCTTTCAGCAGAACTTTAATACCCATTTTATGCATAGTATTTATATTGGCAAAAAAAACTTAGAATAAATACTGCATAAAATTAATAATCCTCAACACCATTCAAAAATCGCGAAAAAGTGAAAGAAAGATTATGGTATAATTGAAATTCCCTGGCTATGTATCTAATCTGATAAAAATTCTAGAGAAATGTGTATGACACTTAAAAATTAATATATCAAAAAAATATATATATACTAAAAGGTTAAATGAAAATATTCATGTAAAAGATGATAATTTTTTATAAAACACAAAATTTGCCCAATCATCTAACTTTTGATTTATATATTGTACGAACCTCTAATTTTGTATGTCAATCCTGGAAATTTTTAGGATAGGTTATGACATAACTTCAGAAAATATTGGGGTATGGATACTTATGACCAGGACTGTATATATTTTGTAAAACATTGTTCTTTTTTCTTTTAATTTTTGGTGAATTTGACCGATAATTCTTGTTAACTTTTAGTACAGCTTTTTGATCGTGTTGTACAATACATAAAAAAAGAAAATACTATAAATCTTATTCTTATTTTATTATATTTTCTTTGCTTACTGTTACTAAAATCAGATAAAATATATTTATAAAATGAATAAACTTGCATATTCTCGATTCTCGTCTCAAATAGACAATTACTGTCATCCGAAGGTCGTACTAAACTGTAGTGTCATGTGATTTGGTTCCTTTTATAGTAATGAACTTCATTTTTAGCCGCGAGTAAAGATTGATAAAAATTGGGGTAGTTAAGTTTATTAACTTTACCTATAATATCATCAGTAACATAAGCATTTTTTTATATGTATGAATTTTTCAGTCTATGCGCCGGTCACGTCCATTAGAAACTTACATTGCTTATTATAATTACCAAATTGCAATGTATTTGTCAAATCTCATATATATATATATATATACAACCTAGTTCTTTGTGACGCGTCGTTGTTCCGGCAAAAGGTTTAACCGTCGATGTTATCAGGAATTGCTATGATTAAAATAACTTGCACATGATTGTTATTCTCAATTTTCTGGATTTATTAAACATATTCGTATACTTTCTAAAGATATTGCTACAGATTAACTCGAAGACCTACTAAATCTTTCAGGAATTTAATTGTATGCATAATAGATTTCTTTAATTTTTTGCTATTTACAAAAATATAAATATTTATTATGAAAAATCTACTGTATATAGTTTTTTTTTTAAAAAAATATCGTCTTATTTACATTTATAAAATCTTATCTTATAAATTACATATATTAAATATTTGTATTTCTTATAATCATCTTATAATCATAATAATCGGTTTAAAAGCTTAATAGTACTAATATACATAGGTTAATTTAAATTTCTTAAAAATTCGAAACTTATATAATAAATAATACATAATTCATAATGTTATCCGCTTAAGTTAGTGGGTTAAATTATTAAAGGTACTTAGGTTAATCGTAATTCTTATACTACTAATGGGTAATGCGTTAAATTATTAAAAAAAAAAAAAAAAAAAATTAAATACGATACGGTAATTGTAAAGTTTTTTTGATAATTGTTCGTTATTAAATAATTATTATCCCAGAGAAAAATTCTTTCGATAGTTGATTATTAATCGTTATTCTTATATTTTGTCGTGATATCGTCATTATTATTATTATTTTTTTTAAAAAAAAAAGAAAAAAACGTTTTAAGTTCTCGGATTTAACATGTTTGACAATCTCATCTTCTTTCTTATTCTCAAAGCGGATTTAGCTTTTTTTGCTCTGTCTCTGTAAATGAAATTCTTGACAATTAATGGAGTTCTCCCGGGCAATTTTTCGGAAATTTGGACGTAAGTTAAATCAGGCTGTAGTCGACTTAGTGTTAATATGTAACGTTCCTCTTCCTCACTCAAGGGAGATTTATCTACTAAAAACAAAAAAAAAAAAAAGATTCATATCAAACTTTCTGCAATTTAGGATTGGTAAGGGTTAAGTAAGGGTTTAGGGTTTACAATTGGATGCACAGCTATGCGTAAGAAATATGTAACATATGCTTCAACTTACTGGTTTCATTCAAATGATTTATCCATCTAAAATAATGTAGATACAATAAGTTAAATATGTGCGATGACATTATTGTGCATATATTAAAAAGTAGATAATTTACCGTTCTCTACATTGTTTAGCCGTTCGTGTTCCCATGTAATAGGAGATACTTGCCCAAGAGATCTGCTCATCCTGTTCATGACAGATTCTGAATTGCTTTACGAGGTAACGAAGTCGTCCGTCCTCCTGCAAAAAAAAAAAAAAAAATTAATTAATTAAAAAATATCAAATAGGAAATCTGGCGTAAAAACAATACACGTGGAAAATCAAATTTTTCCGTCAATAGAAGTACGAAAGCATCGGACTTGACTTACGCACGGGTCAAGAAGGATACTTTTACTAATAGATTAATTCTCATTGCATTTATACATCATATGTATAACTTACCGATTCATTCCATAATCCTCTGAGAATATTTGATGTCATTTTATTAGAAGATTTCTTATACGAATAACGAAAGATAATATATAATATAATATATATTTACTAGAATAACGATTTTTTAATTAGAAAAGAAATCTATCTAATTGCGATATTTTCAAATATTATTGAAACTGGTCATTTTTTATAGAGAAATTTTGAATTATTTATATAATAATTCTTCTTTCAAACCTTTCCAATTATAATAATTATTTTGATATTAAAACGGAAAGTACCATTTTTTCAATTGTAATAAATAAAGTAATACTAATAGGATAGATCAAGAAATAATTTTTTCAAAGGTATAGTAATCAGTGACTGATCGGGGCTGATTCACTTGTTGTGTAAAATTAGTATTATCCGAAATTCTTCTTTGTATTTTTTTTCGGTCTCATGTCTCCAGAAGATTATTGGAAAAAGGTAAGATAGTTATGGTAAAGTTCGATTTTATTTATAAATAATTGTACAACGTATTACCTGAGTTTGTAATTATGCAAACTTCATTCTTAAAAAGTGAATTTTAACGAATTAATAAGTTTCATAACAGAAATATTTCGGCCTATCTGTATTACAAACATTTCAAAAAAGCAACCGCTCGTAGGGATTTACAACTAACATTCCAAATTTATAAAAATCATTCAATTCTGATACACGGATAAAATGTCTATATTTATATGTATGACGAAAGAAATTTTTCATATTTGCATATAAATGTAAAGGAGTTGTAATATCTTAACTTTTACACTTTCTCTGAAAAAGTTAATTACGAAACATAATGGAAGTTCGAGATTTTTTTTTTTTTTTTCTCCTTTCAAATTTGTCTTTATTTTTAAATGATTTACTGATTATCATCCACCATAGTATAAATAAACTCAATAAGCTCAATTATCAATGCTTGCATGAAATATGAAACATCTCGACTTTTCTATAGACTCCGTTTGTTTGTTTGTAATCTCTAAAAGTTAATACAATATAGCTTCTTATTCCTAACAAGAACTGTTTCACAAAAATGTCATAGTTTTATTTCCCATTAGAGTTTGATAGTCGGTTATCCCCGGATGAACCTATCGAAAATTATTACTTGTCAATTACTGAAGGTAAGTTTAATCGTCCAATAATATTTGCATTTTCCGCTTATCCGCTAGTAATAAATTTTATTAATCAATGAAATTTTCTTAAATGCATTTATTAGTACCCGGTAAATCATAAAATATTACAATGAAAAGATGCACATCATGGATCAGAGCGTTAAGAATTAAGTATGACAATTATCGATATGTATCCTCTGACAAAATTTTAAAAACCTTAAATATTAATTATTATCTCCGTATTAAGTAATTTGATGCCTGCCAAAAAATTACAAACTATTCAACAATTACAAACTCAATTAACTCAACTTCAACTTAGAAATAATTCTTTACTTATAAAGTCAGAGGAAAGAGAGTGTGAGAATATATTAGAATTATGACTTGTTGTCAGAAAATAATTTGGGTTGCACATTTAAAGTATTAAAAATAATCCATTTCCCAATTTCCCACGGTTCTTACGAGAATTGAGAGCATTAAAGAATTCCTTATCTACTATTTCGAGCGAAAATTTGAAATTATCAAATTTATCCATTTAAAGGATTAAACAGAACATTCATTTTAAAAAATGGATAGACTCTCTGATCCTATAGATCCTATTAAGCTTTTTAAAAGATGATTTCAACTTTATTAAAAATACAAAATAACAACACATTCCTTTTATTGGTAACTTCTAAAATTTAAAATTTTTGAATAGCATTACTTATTTTACGTACAAGGAAGGATTTACCAAAAATGTTTATTAATAATATGCCAAGCAAGATAAGTATGCTGAATGAATTTCAAAATGGAACTGATGGGAGAGCGACATACGATCCGCCATAGATTATAGATTATCTTCGAGGATTAACTGGCGTATTATATCCGATCCTCCGATATCCGAGACACTCCCCCCCTAGTGAAAATTATTACATATTTAGAGAACAACGGGATGGCCAAAAATAATCGACATTTAATTTTAACTCCCATTCTCAGGAAATGTAAAAATCATAACATAATTCTGGTCGGCATTAATTTCCCAAAAAGGAAATGTGAAACATCAGCTATCGGCGTCATTTCCGGCCCTTCCTTTAGTAAGTAAGACGTTTTTTTAAAATACGTGATCTTATTTTATAAATAGTCTTTCTGTTTGCACATCTAATATTTTATCATATTTTATTAACTGATGTTCTAATTGTTTTAATTGAAGGAATATAGATGAAGAAAATAATTATTATTTTGAATTGAAAGAATTTATGCACCATTTTTTTTTAGTCTATTCTAAAGAAATTTAACAAAATTAGAAGATTAGACATATTAATAACTACTTTTAAAAAATTTTTTAGAGCCGTACCTTTGTAAAATTTTTTTGTGATCCTGTTTTAATCAAGAATATGTATTCAAAACATATCCTAATGTCATTCGAACGTCTCTAGTAGATGCTGTATTTTGATCAATAACGGTAAGATTATTTAATACCTTGTAAAAGAAATATATAAAACATTTAAAATTCTTACATGTATTTCTATGATGTAAACTTCTAGTACCATTTCTACTCGGTCGATTAGCTATAATATGTACAATTATATAAAATAAATTAGAGTTATTCGCAAGAAGTTTATCGCTACATAAAAGTTATCTTACCGTTAAAATTTATCAAATTCCATCTTTTTTTTTTTTTAAAAAAAAATCAGCTTTTAGTAAATTAAGTTAAATTTATCAGTTAGCATATAATAATGTGACAATAACCTTCTTTGACATTCAATTGGATTACGATTTCCCATTTTACGGGCAATCCGATTCCAATTGCGGGAACCGAATCGATTTATAACGGCTACCAATCGATTATCTTCCTATTTTTGTTATCAACTTGATTAATATTAAGTACTCACTAAACAATTCATGATTCGCCAATGCTATTTTTGGGCACCTTATTTCCACGAACACAACCGTAACCATGCTTCAACATAATTTTTTCATTATCATAGCCTGTGATCAGCGAATCAAGAATCAAAGATTACCCTTATTAAAAAATTTTTGCTTACAGCAGTTGTCCACAAATTGAAAATTACTAAAGTTATTATTTAATAAATAAATAATGTGTAAATAAAATATATGCATATATAAAAGACATTTGGTGAATGTATAAATTTTATAGAACTTACTTTGATTATTCAACTCATTAACTAACTGTTCGATTCTTTTTGCTGGCCCTGATGCTAATCCAAAGCCTTCAAATTCTTCTTTAGTATAATTAAGGAAGTCTGACCCAGTGATCTCTTTATGACGGAAGATATTATAATGTGTTTCATTAAGGTGTAAATTTTGTCGTTCTTTTAAAAAATTGATGAGTCCTTCCGTATCCAACCCTTCAACTTCTTTGGGTGTTTGTAATGTAAAGAGAACATTGTTATTTTTTTAAAAAAAAGTAAATAGCATATTCTTTAATAAAATTCGAAATGATTTTATTTTTTACCTTTTTTTAACACATCTAGGAGAGAGTGTGTGTTTAAAATAATAATTAAAATAATAATTTTTATATTTATTAGTCATTTAGTGATTTAGGTTTTATAATTATCCATAATAATTTTATAGAACTTACCGTTACTTTGAGTATTCAATTCATTAATCAACTGTTCGATTCTTTTTGTTGGTCCTATTGCCAATCCGAGACCTTTAAGTTCTTCCCGAGTGTAATTAAGGAAGTCTGACCCGGCGATCTCCTTATGGCGAAGGGAATTATAATGAGTTTCATTAAGATGTAAATTTCGTCCTTTTAAAAAATTAATGAGTTCTTCCGTATCAAATCCTTTAACTTGTTCGGTAGAAGAGGACATTGTTTATTATTATTATTTTTTTTTTTTTTAGAAAAAAATAGCATATATTTTAAAAGAAAAATTTTTATATTCTACAGTATATATATAAAATATATATATACATATACCCATTCGCGACTCCTTATTTGGGTTAATTTATAATTACCCATAATTATCTTATTTATCTATAGGTTTTACAGAAAAATCAATATATGAATGAAACAAAACTGGAAGGTGACTTTTCACTGGACTATTTATATTTGGCATTATATTTAGAACTTTGATTATATATTAGTAATATAATCGAAACAAAGAAAACTGGTTGTAAACCTTCATCTTTATTGTTGTTTGTGAAATGTTGTTTGTGAAATAAAGGGCGGTTTGATTTTCGAAACGACCTTTTATACTTGATTCTTTCATATGTTTCTCCATTTGGTCAATTTTAATTTTCTAAAAAAGATATTTATAAAATTAAAAAAATTAAAAAGGAAAGATAAATGAAATGAATTACTGAAGATATTGCATTAACCATTAATACTTGACATTATATTTAGAAAAAAGTTAATGATAATGATGATAATGATGATTAATGATAATATAATCGGAACAAAGGGATGGATTGTTTGAAAAAAAAAAACATGTAACACATTTATCAACTTGCATTTTTTTCAAACTTTAATTTCATGATAATCCTGTTATTTTATTATTAATCATCACACCTTTTTTTTCTTGTTACATAATAAATAGTAGATAACAATTTTTTATTTATCACATTCATTTAATCACAGTCTTACTGGTCTTTCTCGGATAATAAATTATTGTAATGCAAGATTTTTAATTCTTGCGTGGATCTAACACTTATCCTAATAAAGAAATCTTATGTAAAATATTTCTGTGTTCATTTAATTAAAAAAAATGATTTGTCAATATATATTATATATATACATATAAGAGAACAAAATTTAATTTTTTTTTACATAAGGTTACATATATGTTTATGTACATGTTTTTATGTTTAGTGAATAATAAAGGTATTTTTTTTTTTTTTTAATAA